GGCGTGGTGAAAAAAATTCACCAGTTACCAGAGAGCAGAGGGGGTGGGAGCGAAGTCAGCGGGCACTGGCTGGAGTGGTGGGTGTGGTGGAGGGTGAGTGGGGCGTGCACACAGAAGACGGGGCGCTGTAACCCCACAGTCAAAGCAACAAGCAGTAAAAAATTAAAATTAACATGTCTGTCAGAGCTGAAGTTTGTCTACAGTTGTAACTGAAGTTTACACACTTCTCATCTGTTTTTTAAGATTTACAGAACTGGGGTACAGGCCAGAGGTATGGTGGGTGAGAGACTTCACCAGAAACAGAATGGGGAGCAGAACAGGCAGATGGACTAAGGACACTGCTGAGGGGAGCAGTGGGCGGGTCAGCAGAGGTCTGCCGCACCACGTGGGTCAGCTCCAAGGCGGGGACTGAACTCGTGCTGCAGTGGCTGCGGAGAGCTTCATAATTTGGTGCTTTCACTCGCTGCGCCACCAGGGAGAGCCCACACTTCTCATCTTTGACTCTGTTCACTGGGACTAAGTTCTAACTATAAGCCATAACGCAATATTAACATGCTTAATATTTAAATTTTAGCCAGTTAGCAAGCAAGAGACAAAATGTTTCCCCCAGGGAGCTACGTGGAGCTTTTTGTTTTATTTTCTAAGTATTGTTTTGATTAATTGCCATAGACCTTAAAACAACAATGGACACAAGTGCACATTTGTGCATTTGTGTAAGAAACAGGCCACATAAAACCTTTGGTATTATGCCTGGGGGCAGGTGTCAGGAGGGAGGGAGGGAGGGGGGCGGGCTGGTGGCTGCTCCTCAGTGACGTGCAGCTGCCTCGGAACAGCAGTGCACGCCAGAGACAGGGTGCTGGTGAAGGGGCGGCCAGAGGAGGTGAGACTGAGGGCTGGGGAAGAGGAGGCGGCGGCTGCCTCTTGGTGCGGGAGTGGGATTTGACCAGGAAGGGGCACACGCCTGGGGGGTCCGGCGTGTCCTCTGTCCTGGTCAGGGCAGGCGTGGGGCTTTACAGTAGGGGTGAGGGGTGCAGGTGCCAGGGGTGCTTGTGAAACCTGCAGGAATTTTTGAGCTGGCTGGCAAAGCCATTATTCATAGGTAGATAAACTTACAATTAAGTCATTGGAAAACGGTAATAAACGCCTGACATGTCCCTATCACGCTGCTGTCACTGTGCTCTCAAGCTCCTGTGCGGGCTCTGTGCAGTGATGTCGGTGCCAGCACCTGCAATCAGCCGTCACAGGCGCGGGGACACCACAGAACGAGCCCGTTGTGACACACTCCACAGCGCCAGCTGCGACATTTCCAGCACACCGCTGGTTCGCAGGAAGGGACCACATGTTTGCGCTCAGTGAGGACGGGTGCGTGTTGTTTTTTTTTTATGAAAATTTCTTTTAAGCTATGAAACGACCTGCTGAACCCCTTCCCAGGCCTCAGACCACAGGTCCAGCCGTGGTTACTTTGACTGCATGCCAGCACCCAGCCAGCAAACCCCGCCAGAGCCCAGTGTGCGCTTACCGAGCCATCAGCTTCCACCTTGGGAGCCGGGGCCCTGCTCTGCGGCTGGGCTGTGTGTGGCAGGGCCTGGGGCAGGCCGATGCTCCATGCGGGCAGTTTCCATCAGCGAGTGGCCCAGCTGTGGCAGCCGTGAGTACCCTTAGCTTTTCTGGGCCAGCAGCACCAGCTTTGGGGTGCCTCCTCCTGGGACTGAGTTTTAGCCCATGTGGCCCCCCACCACCCTGAGGTGTAATGATGACCTCCCTGTCCCCACCATTATAACTAGATGTTGCTCCCTTTGATGGGAGTGTCCAGTGTTCTGGTCTTGACCTTCCAGTTCTACCTGCCTACTTAACAGTTCGTTATTTCTGTCCTCTAAGAAAAGTCTTGATCAGCTGCACCCGCCACTGGGCCGGTGGGCCGTGCTGGCCTCGCTCAGGCCCTCAGCGGCATTCCATGCCACTTCTGCATCCCGTGGCTTCTGAGACACCACACGCCCCTGAATTTCTTCCCCCCCTCTGGCCATCTCCCAGCAGGACGCGGGCTGAGTGGCTGCAAGCACGGAGGTAGAATCTGCCTGCCGGTTTCCACGCTCCTCTGCTCGCAGGTTTGTGACCTTGGGTCCCATAGCCAGTTTCGTCTTGTTGCTGTTCTTTTTAGCTCCAGTCAACTCCATATTCAAATTGCAATCATAAAATTGCTCCAAGTTGCCCCAGGGGTAGCTGAGGAGACTGGTATACGAGCACCGTGTGAAACAGGCTTTCCGGAGAGACTATCGTCAGTAAGGGACTGCCACCCCTTACTCTCGGCCCACCAGCTGCTGCTCTCAGACCACCCTCCCCTCCCCATGCGCTCCCTGCGCAGACACGCTCACAGGCCCTCCTACCACCGCTGCTTCAGCCCCTCGCCTGAGGCACCAGCCGCCCCCACACCTCCAATCACCCCCCTAACACATTTCAAAACTACCGTGTCCAGGATTCCCACAGGTGACTGCTCAGCTGGGCTTCCCCCTGTGCCCTCACTCCACCCTGGTGCCTTCTCACCTCTTCCCCTCCAAGGCCGCCGTTAACCCACCCTGTCCACAGAACATTCAGTTCTCACCACACCATTCTCTCGCTCTGCTTTTCCCTCCCATCACACCACTCTTCACTACTAGGCTGATATATATGTGTTTGTAGACTTGACAACTGTCACCTTTGTGGACTGCAAGTTCTGTGAAGGCAGGGACCTGTCCTCCTCCGCTCACTGTTCTCCAGAACCTAAAACACTGCCTGGGGTAGGGTAGGGACTCAGCCATTGCTCGGCAGTGAGGGAATGACTCACCTTCCCCTCCCCAATGCCAAGTGAAACGAACGACCTTGGAAGCCAGAAATCTGCTGTCATCCTTGATTTTTTTTCCCTGTTCCTGCTGCCCCCAAATCCATCAGTCACCACAACCTACAAATCTCAATTCTTAATGGTTACTGAATCTGCACTTGTCTCCATCCGCAAGGCCTTCACCTGGCTTGGTAGCCCCTCCTCCCCTGGACTAGACACTGACCAGTCTCCCCTTTCATGCCCACCTCCATCCACTCCCTGCACCATGGACAGGCTCCCCCCAACCTGAGGCATTTAAGCCACAGGAAGCAGCCTTCATGCTGCTTCCAGCACCTTCTGCCCTACCCCATGTTTTGACACCCTCTGGGCTCATCTTGCAAGAGGAACAATGAGAAGCAACCTCTAAGCTAGCGGTTGGTGTTCAAGGGCCACATTTGACAGAAGGTGGGGCTTTCCAGACTCTACTACCTGACATCCAAAGCTCGGGAATGGGAGCAGGGGCGTGAAGGGTTGGGTTGGGGTGAGAAATAGGGGCAGAGCTGGGGTTTGGGCAGTTCAACCCGTGGGTTTTGGTAGTAAAACCTGTGTGACTAGGCAGTTAGAACTGCTGGTGAGGCAGGGTGAAGCTGAGCGCTGCAAAGCTATCAGCTGCCACTTCTGTGCGAGTTCAGTCCCGGCCCCGGAGGTGACCACAGGGCGCAGCAGACCTCTCCTGACCCCTGATGCGCCCGCTGCTCCCCTCAGCAGTGTACTTCATTGATCTGCCTGTTCTGCTCCCCACTCTGT